ATCTTGTGTGACGAATGCTGTTTTTTCTTTATCCGTTTCTTGAATTTTTACTTGAAAATAACCAGATTTCAAATCAAGCTTCGTATAATAACAATTTCCACCCAAACGCTGCAATAGTTCTTCGGTTGTTGGCTGTGGAAAAGAGTCTTTCTTGGTTACACAATTCAATTTGCGGTAATCGACGAGAAAACGAATTCCACCATCTTTCTTCTTGTGAATAATTACTGGAGATGACCACGGTGAATTGGATGGACGAATCTAGCCATTTTGCATCATTTTTTGAATTTCTTCTTGCATTTCTCGGCGCTGCTGAATTGTTTTTGGGTACGGACATGAACTAATTGGAAGACTGTCACCGGTATTAATCGGATGTCGAATATTAGTGCGGGCTTGTGTTATTTTGGAGATATCGAAGATTTGTGCATGATTATTCAGAATTTGTCGAATTTGTTGCTTTTGAGAAGGGTCGTTCAAGTGGCCGGTTAGTTTATTGAATGTAGCTCCAGATGTTGACGTACTGGAGGTGATGATGGAGTTCACCGAAGGTGATGTTTGGTTAAGAGATGATAAATTCTCTAATGCATTGAAACTTGCAACACTGGGTGGTGTATAAGTCACTTGTCCTAACATGGCATTTTTAAAAGTTTTTTGACCAAAATTTTCGCCAATATGAATTAAACCGCTGCCAATTTCAATTGTTCCTTGTTCAACTTGATCATATGACAACCACTCATAAGGTGATTCTCTATTTTGACGATAACCTAAACATTTTCCATCACCTATTTTTTTTGCGATTTCTTTTCCAATTTTGAATCCTTCATAAATTGTCTGAAATTTACGACCATCACGTTCGGATTTGCCAGTTGTAACCAAAGGACGGCCGGCTAATTTTGAGAAGACTCTGGCTTGTGAACAGCCTTGTGTTTCAGCTGGAATAGTCAAACAATTCCAATCAATATTATCAGTAGTTCCTATTGATTCGTCAATCATTAATGATGACATATTATCTCTAATCACCTTGTAATTTGAACAGATTGCACGTGCCACAACCAGCGCTACTCCAACACCAATTGCGGCTACATTAGAGTAAGAAATGACGGCATGATCGGAATCTGATGAGTTGTCCATCGGTCAAAATGAAAAAAACTCTTTATAATGCGTTTAATATAAGCATAAATAAATAATACAAAAAAATATAAAAAATCGATCCAACTACCGCAGCTGTTTCATCATAGCTATCAACCGTCACGCTGTGATCGTTCTCTACTTGTGTGTTATATCAACGTCACGGTTTTTTTCAAGGTTATTGATATGTCTAAATCATACTACATGTCATCCACATATTTGGTAATAAATCACTCTCCGACCTAGATGGACATTTTGATTGTAATGAAGTAAACTCGGTAAACTATACAATTAAGAGAGAAAAATTTCAATATTATACTTCTCTATAAATGGGAGAGGCATATTTGTGATCACATCTTCAAGTTTTGTTTTAAAGACATTTTTAGTTTAATTAATTCTGAAGGTGGTAAATGTCGCCGTTTGTCGATCGGAACCCCTAAGAAGCGGTTTTCTCGGGTATCGTCCCGATTCGTCGACAAATCGGACACTTCAGAGAATGTACATCAAAGAATTTCAAAGGCGGGAGGGACTTTTAACTAGATGCGCCTACAACAAGTTACAACAATAGTTAAATCGATCGATTATCGGGCGATAAATCGATAGTTGCAACTAGAAAAAATCTAGTAATCGCCCAATTACTAGATTTCCACTGTCGCTACACAGTACTTGTAATCGAGTAAAAATCTAGTAATCTAGATGAATCGGGCGATACTAGATTTTTTTTGACGCTTGGGACGCTTAAAAAGTAACAAATTACCTAGAACTTTCGTACATGAAGCTTTTGAGCTTTGAGCTGGTTTCTCAAAGATCTCTTCGGAAACCTACTTTAAAAAAATAGATTGAGATTTCTGTCTGTTATAGAAAGATACTTCCAAGGCTCTTGTTTTTAATGACGAAAATTCGAAGTCTCTAGCTCGTTTCGTTCTGAAGTTGTTCAACAAACATCCACAGGCCTTATAATTTGGAAAAGATGGTAATTTTTCCTACTTTTAATTAGATTTTCTGTAGTTTTTCTCTGAACATTTTACTCTTCCCGTTACAAAGAATGCCGAAAAATCGCTTGCGCTACCAGGGGTTAAAGGTTGACTTTACCCGTAGGATATTTCTCTTAAAATCTATTACTTTTTATAGAAACACAAATCAGGTGGGACACCTAATACCAATCTACGAAAACATTTCGGTCGCTCACATGGAATGATGGAGTATTTATATAAATCCACTACTCCAAACCAAACGCAATGACAGCAGAGCGGAAAAAAGAATTGGACAAAGCTGCAATTGAATGTATCATTGACGACTCGCGTTCATTTGGAGATTTCAGACGATCAGAAATGCAGTTGTTCATGAGCGTGGCTACTCCCGGATATAAAGGACCACATCGGAAAACGGTGTCAAAAAATTTGGAGAAACTCTACGAACACAGAGATCGTCTACGAAGAATATTTTCAACAGTAAATGATATTGCATTCACATCTGGTATATGGAAGAATTCAAGAAGAACTTATTTTATATGCCTGACTGCTCACTATTATAACAGTAATTTTCAATATATTTCCTTAGTTATTGGATATCGTCGTCTTCAAGGTCGGAAAATTTCAGCAAGACTAAACATTCGACGTGTCGTGCTCAATCCTATTCACCTCAAGTACTATTGTTTAAACATTAGTGATATTGAAAGAATCTTGCGATTGATGAGCATGATCGGTTATATGTGACTTTTGATTCATTTTCTTAATACCTTCTTAATGTTCTTCGAT